CCTCCACTTGCCGAGGGACCGGGGCTAGGGCTTCGGCCTGAAGCGACACTACTCGCAGCTGACAATCCCGGTCTTGCCGGTAGGCCATTTGCATTGCCTGGTGGAGCAAGGTTCTGTTTGGGAGGCGGCGGAGGCTCATCTTTCGTCATATATTTCTGGTCATAATAAGTTTGGAATGATCGCTGTTGATTAGAGCCTGAATCTGGAAGTCCACCTGGAATAGACGCAGATCCTTGACCGCCAGCGTCAAGAGTTTCCAGATCACCAATAAACTCTTCAGGTGTGATGGTATGGGTAGATCCTAAACCCCAGTAAGATTAAGGTCAAATTCTGTTGGTGGCCACATACCAATGTACACTTCTTTGTTGAGCGCTGTTGATAGCTCATAGGCTGAGCGCATTTCCGAATAAGTCATACCGCCCGCAACAAAGACAAATATTCGTCCTCTATTCTCTTGCCCACGGCCTCCGCCGGCGACTCGGGCTCCCGGCTTAGTCCAGACGGGTTTGTTTCTTAATGATGTGACAGCCGGCGCTGGTACGTTGGGAGTTGCAGTGGTTGGACTTGCCTGACCTCCTCTCGAAGGATCTTTAACGAGCGGAAACACGCTTGTATCGAGCTTGTTTGCCACCAAATCCTAAGAAGGCTGGATCAGCCGTGCCAAAGTCACCACATAAAATGGACGTTACAAACCTCCAACACGGTTTTAAGCAAGGGACGGAAACGTGACAAATCATAATCAGATTCAACAAACCGATTTTTCAACTTCTTCCTGGTATCACGATCTCCTACTGCCTGTACCGCTTTTAGTAAGAGAAACAGGTTGGCTTTTCATCTGACGTACCCTCGTGACCCGAATACACATGCTGACCAGATTGTCCACGGCGGCACGTTCTTGTCGACTTAGTTTGGAATGCTCATATAACCTTCTTCGATCCTCTTCCGGAACACCATCACGGTACATGATGTACAACGCAATCACGCGTACTTTATCCAGGTTTCTGCATCGAGTTAAGTATCTACCTTTGGTTCACAAGAACACGCTTACCCTACTCCGCTATCAGCCAATAAAGGTACCATTTCCTCTACCAACGTTTTCGGCGCTTTACCCTCTGGAGTGACACCTGTGGCACAGTTTTGTTCAATGGTAGCCATAGCTGCTAGTTTCTTGGTCGGGTCGACGAACATATCCATGCACTGTTTTGCCATATTATAGTGCAATGAAAACTACTTTTGAATGAGATGAGAATTCGGATTGACCAAGATGATGCACACCTGTTGCTGTCCTTCTTGGTATATAGAAAGGCCAGCCAGCATGTCTTTGACATCTTCGATAGAGGTCGTGCCACTAGATCATCGTCATTTTCGTGAGATTTGATATTTCGGTGGAAACTCACGATTTTGTGAACACTCCGTTTTGCTCTTGGAAATCTTTCAAGTTAGAGATGACTTTATCGATCGCTTCTTTGATGTGCTGGTGCCGTGTTGTGACCCATAATGTATCCGCTTCTGATAAAGTTGCCACCTGAGTCTGAGTCGCACCGCTTGCGTTTTGGAATTCATATCTGGAAATCGCAAATAATGTGTAAGTTCGGTTAGCACTTGGCTCCTTTAGGTGATTGAGATGGAAAGCAGGGCGGACCTGAATTTGGTTCCGTTGACAATAGGTAAGAGGTCGTTGGCCATAGCTTGGTAGGTAAATTCATGAACAAAGGGAGCCATCATGTCCATTGTACGATCGGTAATAAGAAGAGTAGATGGTGGTCGCGCCGGTGAAGACGGCTCAGGCCAATTTGGGTTCACTCTTTTATACATGTCTAATTCTTCCTGTACCATGAATGCCAGTATCTTGCAGAGGTGGTCTTCATTGGAAGTATCGATGCGAGATCCGACACCGAGTGCGTCCCTCCATCCACTCGAGGACGAGTCAGTGGGGGAGAGACCAGGTCGATGCGGCACGGATAGTGGGCCTACTGCTGGATGATGAGAGGGAAGGTAGTATCTTATACTAGGATTCTCGTTCATTTGAACCAATACATTCCCAATCTATGCAAGATGTTCATATTTTGCCAGCGACACAATGGAAAGACGTACGCATCGTGCAGTAAACCTCAGATCCTCTTCTAGCCTATCCCTAGCAGAGCGTTGAAGCGAAGGGGTCCTTGGTGGAGAAAACATCGAGAAGAAATATGAAGGGGCATATAGAGAGAATGCCTGTGATTCAATGGCTAATGGATTATACGTCGTAAGCACCTCCTATTGACATTAGAAACTACGTCACATACCCCAGAAGTTGATGTACATATCTGACACCTTTCTGAGGAATGGGTTTGCTGGTGACTTGACAAGGCGATTTAAGAGCCTCTCAGTAATCCCTGTTGAACAAGTTATGATTGACTTGGAACACCAAAGCTGGAAACATACTGTCCGTGAAGAAAAGCCAGGCACCGGCATACGTTTGTTTGTCGGTAAAGTCCCGGATGACACGATCTACATTCTGGGTTGTCGGCATGATTAAATACATGGCCTCCATATTTGGTTCGGGAGCTCGGTAGGTGGTTATAAGATCAATCGCTGCGCGCCAACAAATGTTAGCACTGGGCCCGTTACTCGAATAGCGCATGAAACTGGACGCATATACTTACTTGTAACCCTCTCGGAGAGAACATCGGCCTCCTTGAGGTTCGCGCCTAGGAGCCGCTTGGAATGTTCATCCACGACCAACACTTTCCATTGACCTGGAGCGACGGAGGTGACTGCATCGAGAAATTCTGGACATAGGTCTGAGAAACACGCCGTTTCATATCACTTGGGGAGCTTACTGGATCTGACAACGTCGATCAGCGACATGGTACGGTCCAAGCTGGCTGCGAATGTGGCGCATCGCACAATAGAACATCGACTCAGCCGTATTCCCCGTTTGAGCCAATATCCAAGGGTTTTCGTGAAACACCATATCTAATGAGTAGGATGTCTAAACAAGAAAAGGATCGCATCCTTTCCACACCTCATCTCAACGTTCACGACCTAAAAATCTACTCCACTCAGGAAAGGGGGCGAGGAGTATACGGTAAGCATCACTCATCCGCAAGTAGATTTGTTGTAGGAGTAATCGATGAAGATTGAGATGATGCTTCAATGCCACTATAAAGCGTCACATTATATACCAAGAGGCACGACCATCGAAATTTCGCCGGTGCTATTCTTTTCTGAAAAGGAATATCGTGATTATGGCCGATATACAACGCTTGATCATTACACTTTCATCTGGGGAGATGGTCGTATGGCTTTACCTTTAGGATTGGGTGTGTATCCATTCAAACCCTCTCCAAACAATAATCATTTGACCAACCACGGATCTAGGGTCTCTGTTCAATCATTCGTCTTCGCCAAATGTAACATACACCAAGAGAAAGTCTGAGGACTGTATAGAGTATACTACATCTAGAGATGTACAGCCGGGGGAGGAATTATTTATCTTTTATGGTCACAAGCTCTGGTTTCAAGACGCTTCTGCACACGCCGCGACATCAGAAGAAACTCCTTCGCAGGAAGGAAATGCCTGGAATGAAATGGCGGCGATAGATATGTAATTCTCTCTGAATTATCATCATATTCTATCGTTCCACTGTCTTCAAGCCGCTGTCATGAGTCAGCGGAGACTTATTTGCTATAGTTCAGCGTCAGCAATACTAAACTTTTATCTCCACGAAAGTATAACCTTAGCCTGGAGGCCATTTTCGTTATTCCAGCAAGTTCTAGGACTCTAAGGGTCGCCCCAGGGACGAGATATCCTTTTGAATGGACCGTACCGAGACGCGATCAACCAGCGTCATCGCAACGCTTAGCGATTTTGAGAAAGATAAAGTCCATATTTACCGTAGAATATGGAAAATAAAACTAGTCGATGAAGTTGAGAGGCTAATTTGAGCTGAACTTTGGGTCTTGCCACATCCATTCGATTCTGTGTCATTCAGTGCGTGGGTCGTCTTTTGAAAACAAGAAAATTAGATAATGATATATCAGCACTTATATAAGAGTTTATGCTGTAATTTCTGACCAAGCAAGTGGCTTTGTTTGTTTCAGCCAAACCTCACAAACACTTGCCTTCCTCTAGTGACGAGGAATGTATCTCTGAATGGATTTTGAGACCGATACGGACATTGCGCAGGCATCATCGTCAACGTCCTTGAATCAGCAAACATTATCCAATACTGTTTCTCTCAGATCTAGCGCTAGACTTCGTACCGCTCGCGAAAGACACCAGCAAGAAACCAACCAAGCCAATTCTTCCACCGCAAACGCTGCAGACAATCCCAGTAGGGCCTCCAAGTCTGATAAAGGCAAAAGGAGAGCTTCGTTCCCGCAAACCGCCAGACCGTAAGCACACCCTGATTCTTATGCATCCTCACTGTGAGAGCATGGCGCCTTCGCTACTGCCCACTCAGCATATGAAGGAAATCAATCCAAAATTTAAACCTCGTATTCTTTTGAATATGTACAGCTGACAAAATTTCATAAAATAGTAGACGCTCAAACCCAGCAGTCCAGCCGCTGACCTTGAACGAGCCCATCCCAGACCGAAAGGGAAAGAAACGCATCTCTCAACCCTCCGAAGACCTCTCTGCAGACGAAGACGAATCAACTAATCCTCCACCGCCCAAACGACTGAGAACTTCGCTATCATCT